GGGGAGGGGGGTTACATCCCAGACCACCAACTCTGCATTTACCAGTTCAAAACACTCACCAACCGCACTGCCACCCTCCACCCCGACCCCCACTCACATATTCTATCCCACCCCCTCCCCTCTGACTTCTCTTGTCCCTCTTAAGGACCTCCATCCTCCTTGTCAACAAGTCAATACCGGTCAGCCTTCCAGTCCTTTGCTTCGGCGTCCCAGCCTGCCCTCCCCTCCCGTGGGAACCTCCAAGGCCTGTTCCCTGTGGGATGCAAGTCTTTGTGTTTTTGTTGTCTCTTACAGTGTCTGTCCTTTTGTAATTAACTAGCTTTACTCAGCCTATTGTTCTCCAGGTCACACTTTATTTCATTTCATGGATGCAGTGTACCATCCCTTATCCCACTTCCTCCCTCCTGCCTGTTCACTGTTTCCATGCCTCACCTTTCTGAACTTGGCTCAGGGATAGAGATGCTACTCTTTTGAGCTTAGATGGCTGATGATTATAAAGTGGGGGTAGTTCCCTGGTGTTACTGTCCCCCTTGTAAACCTGTCGATTATTTTCCTGGAAATTGAGACACGGAGTGAGCTCCCTTCCAGACCTGAAGGGTGAGTCAGGGCCATCTCGATCCAATCAGTACACTGGGCATTTTCAGGATTCTCCTGCAGGATCCTCCAGGTAGGTTTTGGACTATGTCTGTTTTAAACAGACAGGAACTGAAGTTCAGAGAGGTTAAGCAAATTGCTTGGGATCACACGAGGCCAGCCAGTCACGCTTCAGAGCCCTGGCTGTGCTCGTTACTCTGCGGGCGTCTCTAGTGTGGCATTTTCCTTAGGTGGCACATTTGAGCGTAACATTCGTCATTTTCCGTGCTGGCTTTCTACATGGCAGTATTAAAAAATAAAAAAGAGCCTTTGAAACTGACAACAGCAACTGAAAAGATTAGGGGGGATTCTTAGGGGTCCCTACGTTTATTAACAGGAGGGGGACATCTCAGAGAAAGAAGGCGAGGATGGCCACACAACTTGAAGCGTGTCAGCCATGCCACTGAATCCCCATGTAGGATGGTGGAGTTGGTGGTATATTCTCCACAACAGCAAAATGTGAGGGGTACCCCCCAAACACCGGAAAAAAGCTCCGCTGGGAGGAGCTTTCAAAGTACACATTTTCCCTGCTGCGAGCATCAGGCAACAACTCGCTCTGACTTAGTGCCCCCAGTGGTGTCCCTCGGAACGTCCTCCCTGGTCACAATGAATTATTTTATAAAAGCAGTTTCACTCGAATCTTTTTTGGGGGTGGATGGAGGATTTAAGCGAACAGCATGCGACTGTGAAAGTTTGTTTCCTGCTCGGGAAAAATGCTGTAGAAACTGGGATGTTGAACACAGCTTCCAAGGACAGCCCTAAGGGAAAAACTCAAGTGTACAAGTGATTTTCTCATTTCAAAAAAGGTGAACTGTCGATTGATAACAAACCTCATTCTGGACGTGCGTCAACTTCCCAAATAGACAAAAATGTTGACTCTAAGTGCATTTGAAGTTCTTTCCACCAGGTCGGACTGTTAATCAGGCTTTCTATTTAGAGCTTCTGAAAAGATTGCGTAGCAGTTTGCAACAAAAGAGGTCTGATTGGTGGCAGGCGGGGGACTAGTTTTGCTACCACAACAATGCACCTGCTTACGCAGCCATCTCAGTGTGCCAGTTTTTGGCAAAAAACAGCATGCCTATCTTGCTCCATGCACCTGACCTTGCTCTGTGCGACTTCTTTTTGTTTCTGGGAATGGAAAGGGACATGAAAGGACATCGATTTGATGACAGAGAAGAGGTGAAGGAAAAAAACAAGGGAGGTGCTGTCAGCCATCCAAACAGATGAGTTTGAAAAATGTTTCCAAGAATAGAATCGCAGATTTGACAAATGTAGTAAATGTGATGGAGAGTACTTCAAAGGTACTAAGGTTGTTTTATTAAAAAGTTTAAATACAAAGAAGGGAAAAGAAAATAGATCTGTTATCAGAATTAATATTTATGCTATCAAATACAATTTAAATGTGCTTTTAAAAATTTAAATGCATAGCTCTGAGAAAAAATTCTGGCTTTCTTTTGTTGTGTACCCCTTGTACATTTTTACAGAAGAAAGGCGTTTTGCATCGATTGTGTATAAGACTCCTGAAGTTCTTCTTTTGGGCATATTTAGGAGACCATGGTGCTCACCAATCCCTCTCATTTCACAGCAGGAGGAACTGAGGCCCCGAGAGGACCGGGGTCTGGCCCTGGACTCGGCAAGGTCATGCCGGAGGTGGAAGCAGAGTTCTGGGGGTGCGAGGGCTGTCAGGTTTCCCTCTGAAACCCTAGACAGCAGTGCTCCGTCTGCAAAGGGCCCCGAGTGGACAGGGGCTCGTTAGCACCCACAGCAGACCTCAGCACTGTCCTTTCCAACAGGAGTAGTGACCCCCAGCGCCCAAGGGGAAGTGAGTGAGTCAGTGGGTAAGTCAGTGAGTCAGGGGCCAGCTTCTCGTTCCACAAGCGGGGATCCGAACTGGAAGGACGGGAGACGGGAAAGCACCGG